TGTTTTAGTGGCATCAACAAATGATATGCCCATAATTGTTTCATACAATAGTATTACAATGTGTGTAGTAGTCCTTGGTCAGAACCATAGACTTTTTGCCAGTTTTGAAGTTCAAAATTTTGTACTAAGCAAAGTAGGTACCATTTTCCTGCCTTCATACACTGATAAAAAAAATATTTAAATGGAGTGGAATGCACCACAACCTGGAGTTATTTGGAGTTATTTTACCAAAAAATAAAATTGATTTTACCACCCAGTCAAAGACACCCCAAGAGCTGGGATAACAAAGACCATCACTTTTTTTGAAATTACATCAAAACTAAGAGAGGCAGGAGCCAGCAATTTGTGGTGAGTGAAGCTCAAGTATAGACCTGTATTTTGCACGTTTCAATTTAAGTTAAACTTATCTAGTAAAAAATGGCATCATTTTGAAAAAAATTGGTCGAAGTTACTCCATTTTACGGTACTTTATATTGTTTTATGTGATACAGTAGTTTTTCATTCAGCAAATGAAATTATTTTTCATTCCTTTTGTAGTCTATTATTTGCATCAACGTTGTCAAGAAATGAGTCAAAGAAATTATCAAAATATTTTTATTTCAGTTTTGAATTAAATCCAAACATTGAAACACATTTCATTTTATTGCAATAGCACTTGCATTCATGAAATAATGTTTTGTTATAGTTTTTAACTGAATGAAGAAAGTCAATGCGTTTCACTTTTATATGACGGGAAGAGAAGTCGTGAGTTCTTTGTGCCAATGCGGGTACCAAAAGCACCACGACGTCTATAGACGTCACTCCATTTTTTACTGTCAATGGACTTGTTTATTATATATATAAACTGACACAAAATATTCAGTATCTTTTCCAACTATAAATAAAGAATGGTGGGGGTGTGCATTTGGACAAAACTGGCATGACGTCTATAGACGTCATCGAGCTTCAATGTGTTAAAATTGAGATGAATTGAGCAATGGATAAAATATGATTGACTTGAAAGGGGAAAATTGGCAGAAAAGTTCTATTTACAGCTCAAGAGGTAGATATATTCCCTGCCAGCCACAGTGCAGTGCTGGATTGGAATATTTCAACTCATTTCTAGAATCCCCAGCCCCAGGAGACCCAACATGAAAAATTTTCAATACAATAGGAATCTCACAGTCTAATCACTCTAGTGGTACACATTTTCTAACAATTAGAAGATGTTAGTTTATCCTTCTGGAATCTTGCGATTCTGAAAATGGTGGGAAGGCTTTAGTGGCAGCCCTTAAGTTAAATCTCAGATATTCTCTAAGCTAGTGGCATTGGCAACTGTCAGGGTTGAATTCTAGAAGTGATTAGAAAGGTTATGCATGGAAACAGAACTATAGATAATAAATTCATGTATTGACAGGCCAATTTGCATTTGAAATAGCTGGCAAAAGTTGCCTAAAAATTGCATATTAAAAACAATCATTTTGCAGGTGTTAATAGAAAATGTTGGAAATAAAGGCCATTTTTCTTATTTTTACAGATGAAAACTTGAATTTAAATTGGGAAAAACTACTAGAAACTGGTAAAATTGACCAGATCAACAGGCATTTATGTCCTCTTTGCAGGTGGTTTCTGCCCAATTTTCCAATTAGGTAAACAAAAAACAGAAATGCTGACTGAAGTCATATTCATTATGAATATCATATTAAATATCAGAACAGAAGAAACCAGACTATTTTGATACAACTCAAGTAGGGTAAACGCGGTATAAGTTGGTGTCACTGGGTGCCAGGAGCCTGAGTAGGGATGTGTGTCCTGTGACAGTGGCACCACCGCACCAATGAAGAAAATTCACTTGAAACAATTTTGATTAGGTGTGGATACAAAATGGAGAGTGAATTGGAGACATTATGCCGTTTGTACTAGTCGGCACACATTGAAATAAAATAAACAATATTTTTCAGTTTGCAAATTAGCCAAGTTGATCTAAAATTCTACATTTTCGACCGCTGACACACGGAGTGGAGGGTTTACAGACTCAGAAAGCACCGTAGATATCCATTTCCGAAAGTCCAATAACCAGCTAGAGCTAGGCTATCAGCCAATAGCCAGTATATTCAAATACAAACAAGAAATTACACGAAAACACAAACTATGTCACGCATAAATAAATTACACAATAGCAGGGGACAATCCAAATGATATTAAATTAAAACAAGCTTAGATCTTAATAATAAAAACCAAAACACGATCGAAAATCAGATATAAACATGACTAAATGGTTACCTATTAGAACTCATTCCTCCACCACCTCCTCTTCTGTTTGTACGAGCCCTGTTCATACTTGTATCATTTGAGTTTTGCTTAAATAAATATTCTCACAGTAAAATATAAACAATCGCCAACACAACAATCATATATGAAAAAATATTCGCTGGTAATAGCGACAAATCAGAAGCAGTCTGACCGCAGTGTTGCCAGTCAGCAGATGCAATTGATTTTACAGAGGAACACACTTTGTGAAGCGAAATTATTTGAACGAAAAAAAAGTTGACTGGTATGTTCTCTGAGAGGCAAAAAAGGAATTGATAAACTAATTTTTTTTGGCATGGATTGTTGAAAATTAATCAAACGAAATGAAAAGCAAAGAATTTCCTCTTAAAGCACGCAACTGTGAAAAAAAAAACACCACGGATGTGAAAATTCACAAATAAGAAACCGAATGAACATGAAAGAGAATTTTTTATGCATATATTAAGAAAAATTTCACAAACAGTCATAAAGTATGCTTTAAAATGTTATGAGTGATATCACATCATTATTTATTATCATGTTACATTTTTCTCTATTACGCCCTTCAATCGATTACAGCGCTTAATTAGGTTGTCATTTGATAGAATATAAGTAAAATATGTCAGCCCAGTAATTTACTGCAGGGAGATTTATAGGTAAATGAGAATTCGCTTCCATTAATAGGCAAAGAAGTTGAGTTCTGTGATTGATTCCACCAGCACACTGTTGCGTATAATTTTTCGTCCTATTCTCTGGTCTATAGTAAATTATTGGTCGTCACGACCCGTATTGTTTTGATGCAACCTTTAAATCGCCAGAAATTGACTCTGTAATTGTATTTCAAATCGAATATGATAAATATTACGAGATTGAATTACCTATGGACCGTATGTCCATTCGGTGACCGGCCCTCTGTATGTGCTCAATAAGACAATGCATCGTGGTAAGTTTTTTCTGCATATTTTCTTCAGTCCCCGTTCCTTGACATGCGTAGTTTATATAACATAGGCATGATTTAATTCTCAATTCTATTTATAATGAACTATCTAGCGAAATGGGCCAGATATATGATGTAACAATATTTTCTACTACTGGTGTTTCCCCCTTTAAGGATTAATTTAACAAGTTTTCATTTCAGATTGATTTTCACTCGTTCCGGTGCTTAGACTGTTGACAATATTTATTAAGTAACATAAAAACTGACACAAATAATATGTAAAATAGAATTTAATTCAGCAGGAATTGTACAAGTTATTTCCTTAATTATGTAGCAAGAGATTTTCTATAATATGTAGCATATCGCATATCAATATCGAGCGAGTGTCATGGCCCAACAAGGTCAGCAAGACGCTTCCGTAGTTATGGCTGTTTCATCGCGCATTCAAAACGTTCATTCGCAAAGCCATTCCAAAGAGTCGTATCAAAAAATGTTGCGGTGGCTACGAGCGATTTCATACATATATCAATACTATCTCTGATTCATTTTATCCACGTGCGGCCTGCATTGGTACTTCTGTAGTTCAAAGGAACCACCTCTCAGTTCAGTGGTTTTTGTCTTGCAAAATATTGGGCGATGGCTAAATATTGGGCCTTGAACAAAGGCTGCCGAATGGTCCGTTTTGCGGCTAAATTTGACTACTTGCGGTTGGTTCTTCTTCAATAAGGTGGCCGGCAAAAATTTATACTGGTCCTTAACTTATTAGATATTTTAAAGTTGAAAAAGGGGCTAAAAGCTACATTGTTGCGCCGAAGAATTAAAATTCACTAGTAAACGTAGAGTTTACTTTTAGAAGTAAATTTACTAATTAACGTTTCCACCGAACCTCCGTGCCTGCAACCGTGCTTCGCTAGCGTAACTTGGCTGCTCTCTTCTGCACATTTCCCACATTTCTCTGCTTCTCCCACATTTAGTTATCAAACGTCATTACTGTGGCTCTGCAATAAAAGTGTGCGGGAATAAAATGAAATAAAATTAAGAAGGTGGTAGACAATTATGACTTCATAGGCTTTAAAATTCATGTAATTTCCCGAACTCACATTAGGGTATGCACACAGTGAAAGCAGGTTTGCCCGCGCGGGCAACCTGCTCCAACCTGCCACAAGAATGAACATAGGATAATAATGTAAGTGTACGGGCAAACCTGCTTCCACTGTGTACGTACCCTTAGCGGAGCAGCGGGGTACGGCGGAGTCGGAAGACTTGGCTGATTGCAGTGCCTGCAGCTTCGGAACCTTAAAGAGCATATCATAAATGTTTCGATGTGAGTCACTTTTAGTTTTCTTGTCCTTTACAGGCAGGGTCTGGGACGTAAGCAGAAGAGGTCTAGATGCCAAAACAGACTTGAAAAATTGAGGGTCAAGAGGTTGCACTTCCGCTACATTTCACTACAATACCTACTCTCTAGAGTCTAGAGTGGATGTGATAGAATGGCCGAAAGAATTGTTACAGATGTCAGCGATGCAAAACTAGGCTGAGTGTCGAGGTGAAAAGTTGGTGAATCGGCGTCAGCCAACACGACCATAGTCATAACTGACATCACAATATTACGTCATGTTTTGTAATCGAATTGACCTCAACGCCGCACTCTAATGAATACCGCTGATAAACTCAGCCTTGTCCACATTCTTGCACCCTGCTAAGCACTATCTTTTTACAAGCTCTGATAACTTCACTAGAGCCGAATCAACAGCGGAACGAGAGTACAGATCAGGGCGCCAGAATTGAACCAATAAGTTGTGTGTTCGATACCAGCAGCCTAATGTGTAAAGCTCTGCTGGTCGATATCGGCGAAATGGCCGGGCGGTTAAACACGGCGGATATTGAGGCAGCGAGTTGCGTGTTCGATACGCGCTATAAGCTGTGAAAATTGTGCGATTTTCAGAATAGGCAGCAGACCTAATCTGCAAAGCTCAAACAGCTATTATTCTTACGATGAAAAAACATTCTTATAATCAAAAAATAGACTAGCAGCTTGGTTATTTATGAGCACCGTGGTGAGAAAAAGGTCCGATATTCTGTTGCATTGCGTATGATCTAATCCCAGCTTCTTAGTCCATTTCTCTATCACCATACGCAGAATCTCTGAACCAGGATCTGTAGCTACTAGCTTAAACTGAGCACTTCCTTCTTTAAAAACAGGCATAACCATCACATGCCTCCATTCTTCAGTCTGTAATACATTGGAATATAAATTTTTACTTAAAATATTTCCATAATATGATCAATATTTAGCCTCAACATCACATGTCAGCTGAATAATATAATATTCAAACAAATGCTTTCCGGTCCCCGAGGTCTTTCCCTTTGTAGTTTAAACATATTGAACCATTCCTCAGAAATTTCAAAATCCCCAACTGACCCAAAAATTATTGTAGCTCGTACGTATGTGCTTCCATTATATATAAATCTATTTCTAACACGCGCTCTGAAAGAAATCATTCTACAAGTCAGATTTTTCCTTGTTTGTATCGTTATATAGCCATCTGTTTTCAAAATCAGGTTCTCCCTTTCCAAATCAAGTTCTCTCATAAAATCAGGTCCTTTTCAAAACGCTAACATTATTACTTTTTCCGACGTAGTTGCGGTCATCTTTTGTTACTTTCTGAATGATTGGTGGTTTCTTCTCAGTGATGCATATAACTCGTAGGTTTCGTCAGTCAGTTCCACCCGTAAAGATAGTCATGAGCGTCGGAGCCGTGACAGCTTTTTCAACGATCTCCACGCTGTTGCCCACCAGCCACACCCGACTACTCACCTTGTTTTGAACTATATCTTCTGCATTTTGAATCCCAGTACTATAATATATGTGCGAGCATTACTGATGCGAAAGCTTCACAGAGTCATTCGCAGAAAGTTACCGACAGTGTCAGTTTCCTTTCGTATTATATAATAAAATTAATATGATGGTTTTGTTGACAGTCGTTATGGAAGTTTTAAAAACAGGGAGCAGGAGGAATGCTGTGACTCAGATTTTAAGGGCATTATGGCTAAGCTCCTAAGTTTCACGGACAAAGGGCCGGGGGCATCGCAGAATTTTGAGGGAGCAGCTGTGGGCCACATATTCAATTCTTGAGTCAATAGCTCTACACTCGGCCGTATACCTGACAAACTCTCATCGGACTGGCTTAATTAATTAAACTTGTCTTGCATCACATAATGTAGGCAGATCATACCCAACTTCTCTAAATATAATTGTATATATAAGCCTACCTCAAAAGTTGAACTGTCTCACATCCTTACTGCCATTAGCTTAACGTGCTTACTCGGCCCTCCCTTTCCAACTTCAAGTAGCCTTCACCTAAAGGTTAGGTATGGTTAAAATTCGATTTGAGTGGAGTCGCATTTAGAAAGTGGTGTAATATGCAATTTTATTCCGGAAAACTGCACACAATGGGGAGATATATCTTGTGCAGTGGGTCAGTTTTCTGCAGTCGGTGCGGATTAACAGAGCACCTGTGGCTTTAATCAGTTAATGTAATGGTCGACTAACTCTCTAGCCATCACCGTCAGGCCATAATGAATACGTGTACCAAGTTTCATCGAGCTACGTTAAGTAATTTCGGAGATATCCGATGTACACTGAATCTGGAGTCCGGCCACAGGTCCGACCGTAAATTTGTCCGAGACATGCCCAGACCACGGATATGTCATCTTCATACGCACAAAATTAAATTAGGATTTATCAACTGTAGTGTATTTGGTGAGCTGCCCATTACCAGCATACAGGATCCTATCAGGGTTACTATCTGACGACTGAAGTGGCGAACGAATGATCCATGGAATGCCTCCGCGGACGAATTCCGCCAATTCAGCCAGTGGCCCAGTAGTTACCTGACTGTCCTGACACTTTGGATCCTTTGTAGAGAGGGTAAACCCTGCTACCATTAGTCTTGATTAGTTACATAACGGAAAAATTAAAGAACAAGTTTCATTTGGTTACTCGTTAAACTAAGATGTGAGGATGGAAATTCCCCTTAAGAAGCCGGTTATGACGCAGAGCCCAGAAGCAAACAGGTTGCTACCTATCAGGCTATCAGGCTATCAATGCTGTGTAAACTGTAAAGTAAAATATTGAGGTACAAGCTTGCCCGGAGCTTGGTAAGCTTGTAGTGATAGCGACAAGTACCTAGCCAAAGCAAACCATCCGCTTCTGAGACAATGTGTCTTGAGCCTTAGCTGCCTTACCCCAGGAAAAGTGCTTTCAAGCTCCCGGACCTGGCGGACCGCCAGGGAACTCCCGATTCCCAAAGCTTGAAAAACAAACTAAGTGCAACTGAGCAACTCAGCTTGACAGCTTACAGTGATCTTATATTCTTAGCTGACAGAGACAGTGGAGTGACTGGCCCCTGGGGTCTGGGAGTGGGATGGAGCAACAATGCTGAATTTGCTGACAGAATCAGAGAAGAATGATGCCATTGACTGATTGAGCTTGTAAACCAAGAAGACCAAAAGAGAAAATGAAAGACATCTATTGATCATACTTCTAGTTCCAGGGCTGTGCACTAGAAAAAATTTGATGCTGTCTGACCTGAACCTCCAATTGCTGAATTTGCTGACAGAATCAGAATTTGCTGATTCTGTCCCCCCCAGGAGTCCAGGACAGAATCCCCCCACCCCTGGCCCCAGCCTCCCAGGGCCAGGAGGCAGGAGCTACAAACAGGTTACAGGCTCAACTCGAGCTGCTAAGCACAACAGTTGGAGCTACTCAGCTTAGTCAGCTACATCTGCGATCTGGACAGTGGACTCAGGACTCTGGAGGCAACAGCACACTGAGCACAGTCAAATCAATGATGTGGTGGGGTGTGAGTTGAATGCTGATAGCACTCTAGCTCTAGCAGGCCCAGGCTGATCTAATCAGAGTGATGACTGTGGTCTGTGCCCTGTGGGACTGGATGTCCTGGCACTCCTGGACCTGGACTGTCACCCATAGTGGCAAAGCAGAAAGTTTTTTAGACTCTCCGTCAAGTTCATTTTTGAGTCCTATATGTAGACCACTAAAGTATCCTGGATACCTACATTATCATACATAAGAAATTGGTTTAAATTGCAAGTAAATGAGGAAATTAAAAATGAACTGATTCTAAAAAATCCCTGGTTTGTCACTATGCTGTCACCTGGTCTGGCTGGTCGCCTTGGTCATGGGTCACCGCCTCACCGGAGTCTGCTCATGCTGCCATGAGTCTAGCTTGTGATCTTTCACTTAAAATGCATTAGATATGCAAATTGACTTTAAATAAATCATAAATGCACTGAAAATCTGAAATGAAACAAGTATGGACTTGGACGTGGAGTTTGGACTGCAATTATAGTGCAATACCATGGCATGGGCATGAACTAAGATTTGCTTTTCCTTTATCCCTATAACATAATAAATCAATACATAAATAATGTTTTTGAATCACCAAACTTTTTTATATCATTGAGTTTCTTTTAATACAAAAGCTGAAACATAAGGAGGAAAACTTCCCTAACAAATTTATTTTTGGGAAAGATGGCCATGATCTAGGCACAATTTCTTCATTTACCAGCCGCGGCATTCCATCGATCAATCGTTCGCCACTTCAGCGTCTTCGGCATCTTCAGCTTTTAAGTGTTACCCAAATAATAGTAGCTAACCAGAACTTTTCTTATCCCACCTAAGCCACCTTTGAGATTGAGATACTAATTGAGTTTCCTCCAAATTACTTCTAGGCATTGTTTAATCCTATTTACTTGAACTATTTATCCTGATGTAGAAGAGGATGTTGAATTTCACAGTGATGTGAAAGAAGGTAAATGTAATGTAGGATAGATTCCAACTTCCAAGAGACAGACTGACAAACAGTCATTTATCCTTTGAATATGAATGAGCACATAGCTCACAAATGGTAAATATTAATGATATCATCCATTTAAGATTTGTGTGCCTGAGCAGCCTGACTGCTACATAGAGCACACTTTCTTTAAAATTTTCAATAGTGATCTAGTTTTATTTCATGAAACATCTTGCTCTTATGTGAAATTCTTGTTTAAAAACTCAGCAAGCCACATTATGCACCTAGTGCCTTTTGATGAACACTAATGTTTCCAGTTCTGATGTCCTTCCTGGCCTCCATGTGCCAATTACCGCTCTCATTAAATGTTTCTTATTGAAGGAAATTCCCTTTGAAAGCTTTTGCTGGAATGCTTGGTTGTTAAATCTTTTATTGGTGCTCAACATAGCATCTTATCAGTTTTATTTTCAGATGAATCTCAAAATTCAAGTTATACGGATGTTCCTGACTAATTGCTTCATTAAAGATTCTACTCTTAAAATAAAATATCAATGAACAGTGGGCCAAGTTTAGATAAATTGAACTTGGAAAATCCTAAAGATTATCATATAGAAGGATTGTTAGATACCATTTGGGATGGGAGAGGCAAAGTTGTGTCTGCTCAACACATTCCATCCAAGACATCTTTTGCTATTAAAATATTTGACCTTGAGAAGTGTTCTGAAGACCTGGACCTGATACAGGTAATGGGATTGGTTTTGGGTTAAAAATGTATACCGGTATCATGTATCTGTTTATTGCTTGTAATTCCTCTCTCACTGCTTAGCATTCCAGTAAGAAGAAGTCTAATGAATAGAGTTCTTTTAGAAATTGAACTAATCTTCCTGTAGCAATCTGTATAAAAGTAAATATGAATATATATTAGTTTGCTGTTTTCATGACACTTGAAAAATAACATCTCTGAGATTAAAACATTAATTACTGATTGACCAGCATTCTCACTGGTGATATGGATTTATAAAAAGGTTCCTTTGAAGGATTCATAAGCTTAGGTCATTGCTACCAACACTTCAGGGATAACTTTTGTAATATATTTCTTGCAGCATGAAGCTAAAACATTGCGTGAGTTGCGACACCCAAACATCTGTGCCATCAGCATCAGCCTGAGCTTTGGCCAGGAGGCCTGGCTGCTGCTACCTCACTACCACTGCTCGGCCGCCTCCATCCTCACCCACTTCCCTGTGGGCTTGCCAGAACTGGCCCTTGCTCTTATTGCTCGCGATGTGCTACTTGGTCTTCAGTACCTTCACTCCAGATGCATTATACACAGGTAGCTGCTTCTTCCATTATCAAGATCTTATAATTGACTTGTTCATTTCTATGTAATCTATCGCTATTTAATTGATGTGTAGTTTCTTTCCTTGACTTCTAGAAGTAGGTACTTCTTTGAAGACTTGCCTGCTTGTTTTTCCTCATTTCATTTTTGTCCTTTCAGGCTGAGTTGCAATGTAACATTCATAATAACTTTATTTTAATTTATAATCATATTAACAAACTGTTATATCTGATTTGCTACTCATTGCTGCTTGGGCAGGGCTGTGCAGTCTCGCCATATCCTCATTGCTGACACAGGCCGCTGTGCGTTGAGTGGTCTACGGCACAGCATCGAGCACCGCGTGGGCAGCAGTGAAGGAGATACCCTGCATGAGTACCCCAGATACCCTGTGCCCTTACTCAACTGGGCCAGTCCTGAGATGTTGCACCAGGTAGGGGATGGAATTGATCAGCCAACACAAATTATGATACTGTGAACGTATACCTTGTGGCACGTGCATGGCAAGACATCTGCACTCTGAAATCTGACAAGTTATCTATTGCTATTAATGTAGTGCTAAAAGTTTTACAAGCCCCTGGAGATTGAGGTTGGGTTGCGTTGCAGAATTGGCTTGCACTGGAGTGGTGGTCAGGGTTATAAATGCGTTATTTTAATGTTAAGATTGAAATAGGAGCTAACATTCAAAGAACATGTAATACAGTATGTTGATGCTAGGCATTAACCTATGAAAGGAAGAAAGATAGATACCTGATATCTCTCTTTGAAACATGATTGATGGATTCTGGCATTAAATTTGCCTCTAGATAGATCATTGCATAATAGCAGATAAAATGAATCTCACTGATGTAAAGTTGTATATATAGGTTGTTATTCTTTATGAAATGTTTTTTGACGATCAATATTGTTGTAATTAATTTCCTAGCTGCTCTGCTCACGATTGGAGTAATTTTCAAAGTAGGGTTGCCCGCCAATCTAGTTCGAATATTGCCGAACAGCGTTATAGTAGTACGTGGTTTCCGCGGGCAGCTTCCAAGTAGCACGGGGTTGCCGCGGACAGCGTTATAGTAGTACGTGGTTTCCGCGGGCAGCTTCCAAGTAGCACGGGGTTGCCGCGGACAGCGTTATAGTAGTACGTGGTTTCCGCGGGCAGCTTCCAAGTAGCACGGGGTTGCCGCGGACAGCGTTATAGTAGTACGTGGTTTCCGCGGGCAGCTTCCAAGTAGCACGGGGTTGCCGCGGACAGCGTTATAGTAGTACGTGGTTTCCGCGGGCAGCTTCCAAGTAGCACGGGGTTGCCGCGGACAGCGTTCAAGTAGCACGGGGTTGCAGCAAACAGCGTTCAAGTAGCACGGGGTTGCCGCGGACAGCGTCCAGGCAGTGAGATGTCGTCCTTATGTGGTTGATAACAGTGATGCTCTCGCAGGACCTGCGCGGCTACAGCTACTCCAGCGACGTGTACTCGCTGGGTCTGACTGTTTGTGAGCTCGCCAACGCCGAGCAGCCCTACGAGGGCTACCAGCCCACACTCATGATGGTCGAAAAGCTCAAGGGTCGCGTGCCTTTCCTGGTGGATGCCTCTAAACCTTTACCTGACGGTAAAACTTTCAATATGAATGTCAAGTTGAACTGTTAAATATAATTCCAATATGAATGTCAAGTTGAACTGTTGAATATAATTCCAATATGAATGTCAAGTTGAACTGTTGAATATAATTCCAATATGAATGTCAAGTTGAACTATTGAATCTAACAGATGAATCATCATAAAAGTTGTTTTTTTGAAGATATTTTATTGTTGAACTGTTGTTAAGTTAGTGAGGTATAAAACTGACTTGTAGTAGTGTTGCAGAGAGCGGCGATGAAACAACCAGCGGTGGCAGCCACGGCAGCAGCGGCGGTCTCAATATGAACGCCGGCACCGACGACTTTGCCGACAAGAGGAACGCTTGGCGGGACCGCATCTTCACGGCCTCAGCACACGAGTTCCTGAGGAAGACCCTGGCCCTGGAAGCCTTCAGGAGGCCGTCCGTGCCACAGCTTCTTGCGTCTGACGCCTTCATTAAACAGGCCCGCAAGGCGGCAAACCCATCAGTTCTGGACTACTTGCAGCACCACAAACGCTTGCCATTCGTTACCGGTGAGCTTCGCTTTTGTCTATTCGACAATTTGAACGTTTCACCTGAATTTATTTGTCGCTGTATTAGCTCATCATTTCACCATTAGTAATCGATGGATTTAAAGTATTCGGGAGACACAAGCACAATTGCCGAATATGATGAAAGGGCCATGATTCTCGATGAGTTTTAGTCATTGTATTCTTTGAATTAATTAAAAAATATTTACATTACCGATCTTGCGAGCAAAAATAACCCTTTGGGTCTTTGCTGTCCCCAGACAACCCAGCTGTCCGCGCTGCAGCTGCTGCTGACGATCTCAGCGGACAGTTCTCCACCGTCGACATCGACGACACATCCTGGGAGTTTGAAGCGTCCTAGACAAGATGTCTTCGAAATGATCCACTTGATAACGATGGATGTTATCCAATCAAGTGTGTTTACAGATAATTTTATGTTTCTGTTTTACACGATACTTTTTGTTCCTTGTAAATAATTCTAAGATATTTTGAGTAAAGCTAATTATTATCTTCATGGATGTCTATATCCAACAATGAAACGGCAAGCAGATTTTTTTACTTAGCTTTGATTTTGCTCCTCTCTCGCTCACCCTGTTGGTTGTTGGTACGAGGGTTTTGATCAAATATTTCGAAGGTAACCGAGTAGGCTGTGTTTGGCGTTTACTGTATACGCTGATTCAGCAGGCCACTGAAACATGTACACTAATCTCGTTCCTTTTTGGTGCATTAGTCGTATTAGTGTATCCAATAATAAGATGCCCAGCTATACAGCGAAAGGCATCTAGTTCATAAAGATTACATATATTGGTGGAAGTTGGAGTTCATGGGTGTCTTTCAATCTAAAGCCTTCGTATTAAATATATAGTGACTATTTTCCCGTTTTTCTTAGTATCTGCCGTAAGCTGAATAACCACAAATTCAATTTGTATTTTTCAGTGCCGCATTGCAACGCATTGCTGAACTCGGAACTGATGTAATGCATCTTCAGAATCGTTAAATAGGTAGGGCAATGAAGTTCGGACATATGAAATTTTTCTGAAAATGGTGATGCTAATACATACTATTTAAAATCTGAAAGAAAAAGGATTTTGTGATAACGGTTTTTGATATTAGGGACGACAGCTCTAACAATAAAGGGTTTAGGCACGATATAATTCTCAGATTTCATGGATTGTCCTTCACTGACAACGTAGTTGTAATGATACGTCGCGATAAATGAATAGGGGGTAATATCTACGGGAAATTTGAGTAAATGTCAAACCGGGTTCGACAAATATCCTTTAACCAGGAGTTTCGAGTACAATGAGCAATTTGCAACTGATCGTATCTTATATCTGTTATTCATGAAATTAAATGTGAACTTGAACTGGAAGTAGATCATACTGAATGGTTCTGAAAATGGTTATCATTTGTGATCCAGTTCCAGCCGACGACCAATGTCATATGGTCGAAGTTATTGAGCGTATCTTTCAGAATATGCGTCGTTAGAGCGAAAGTAATTTTAACGGAAATGCGAAGATTATTATAGAGCTGGCTGCGATGCTTATAAACCAACATTGGTAATATATGAAATGGCTATGAGCCGATGACATTGAAAAAAAAACATACGAACAATACTGTAATTTAACTTTTCGATATATTATTTAAACTGACTAATAACGCAAAATCACCTATACCTTGCGTATGCAAAATACTAGTAATGGCAGGACATCGACGTGCAATGCGCGCCTATACTGAAACAATTAAAATTCTCACTTAATTCACGATAGGTAAACATATCGTCAGTCATACGAGTTTTTAAGTCACACAAACAATATCTACTCTGCCAAGTGGGCAATTAAAAGATTTCTGCATAAATTGTTTCTCAATTTTATCGGAAAAATAACAAGCGCCTATGAGTGTCATTTTTCGTATAGCAATGCAATTAAATTTGCAAAAATGCAACGAAATTTAGTTCAAAATGGAAGGCGGGAATTCTTATTTTAAATAGTTAAAGGATATTTCATTATTGTCAAATGACGTGGCAAGATACTGAACGGCATGCCAGGAGGCATTCCGAACAAAATTTCCCTATTCCTAGATTTTCGTCAGTTTTATTTGTGTTGCGAATAAATTTACAGTATATGTTTGAAGTTAACTTTGACAATGGCACACAGCATCTGGGGTTAGGTTCCACATAGCATAGTTTTGTTCCAAAATTTATCGTCGTATGACGCGTGGCCGTTCGACCGTAGGCTGATTCGACACACGGGACAGATACGGACGGCTCCGGCGCGCTCCGTCAGAGTGGTGTAAAATTTTGTCGCGTATTGGCAGACGACGCTGGGCCATACGACGTAAGGCTATTTTACTGTGGGCTGATTGATCTAATTCAATGGATATGATCTGTCTAGTGGCGTGCGGTTGATAATGTTTCCAGCAAGAAGTGTTGTAGGCTACGTTCTTCAGGGAAGGGATCAAGATAGTCCATTCGAAGCAAGGCAGTGGTGGTCTCCGACAGGCGTTCCCTTCACAGCGCCGGAGCACAACTAGCCGGAGCGCAACAGACCCTACCGCAACAGGGGCGCAGGTTAGGTTAGGTTACGTTAGGAGTAGCCTGTTGCGGTAGGGCATGTTGCGCTCCGGCCAGTTGTGCTTCGGCCTGTATGCGCTACGGCCTGTGACTGAACGGCGCTGTTGTGGTGGGCGCTTTGTGCCAAAAGCAGTGAAGATGCCCGGCTGCGTTACGCTCGGGAAGGTATATGAATCGCACTGTGGACTTGGGCTATGCTGACCTCTAGCTATTCACCCCGCCTGGCGCTTCACTGATCGGACAACGAGAAAAGCCTTCTGCTGGCTGCGAAGGGGGAGAGCCGGGACATGGCGTAATAGGGTAGGCCAGATGCGCCTCTGCCTGTGAAGTAGAGCGCGGTGAAGCAGTGGCTGTGACGTAGCGGCGCTGTTATGGCGGGCGCTTATTTTCAAAAATCGCGAAGAGGCCAGGATGTGTTTAATGCAAGCACGTAACATGTTTGGCGATTTGCCCACGTCTGTTGCCTCGGCGGCTTGTTGTTATCTGGCTGACTGAATCACTTCCAGGAAAGGAAATGGCACCAACGGCTTTAGGCACTTAATCACACAGGCTAATATGCCCTCTAGCGTGATTACGCTCGGAAAGGAATAGATATTGAGTTGTGGGCAAGGTCTATGTTGGCCTCTAGCATGCGTCCCATTTGGTAGCCTATTTTAAGAAAATTAATCTGCCTTCAGGGCATGTGCTTTTGAATTAGCCTAAGCTGCTAGTTATCTCGATGCTCGCCAATTATTGTGCTTAGTTTTGCCTTATTCTGCTGATGTTAGCATTAAAAAATGTTTCAGCTCACGTTGACCAATGTCCTAGATTTATTCCGAACGTCTTGATGTCTAGGCTCTGTAATGCGACTTTTGAACTCGAGAATTATTGACTGGGCTGTTGAGCGCTCACTCTTTTAGATTCAATTTGTGTTGAAAGGCTTTTTCAATTTATAGTCAATTTTTCATTGGCGCAGAAATGTGAACATGTCCATTTGAACTTTTTAGCTAATAATTTGATATCTGATTTCCATTTGCAATATATGTTATTTGAACCATTTCTAATTGAGTTCTGAATGTGGGGACGCCTGTCGGAGACCACCACTGCCTTGCTTCGAATGGACTATCAAAATCCCTTCCCTGAATAGCCTACAACACTTCTTGCTGGTAACATTATCAACCGCACGCCACCAAACAGATCACATCCATTGAATTAGATCAATCAGCCCACAGTAAAATAGCCTTACGTCGTATGGCCCAGCGTCGTCGGCCAATACGCGAAAAAATTTTTTACACCACTCGGACGGAGCGCGCCCGAGCCGTCCGTCTCTGTCCCGTGTGTCGAATCAGCCTACGGTCGAACGGCCACGCGTCATACGACGAGAAATTTTGGAACAGAACTATGCTATGTGAAAACTAACCCCAGATGCTGTGAGCTAAAAGTTACGTAATTTAGCGAAGCTGCGGAAGTCGCTCGTCGAAGGACGATAGATTTTGGAACAGAACTATGCTTTCTGAAACCTAACCCCAATGTTGTGAGCTAAAAGTGATCGTCAGGTGGTGCACGGCAGGATGCATATTGCAGATAATTGCCCTAGTCTGCAATAAATTTCTCGCACATTCTTCGATTAAAACCCACATTTCACGTTGTCTTTGTGCGTGAGGTTAAGAGTAAAATTAAGCTAGCTGCTGACCAAAATATAAAACAGTAACATATATAACAATATGAATTTCTCGAAAAGCCAATATAAACGATTCATGTTGACGGGTTCGTGACGACGCATTTGCCGATAGATTGCTTTGCAAATAATACAAGGTGGCTGTCTTAATTCTATATATATTCTCGTTGAACTTGACAGAACTGAAGAGGCGTGGTTATAATCAATCAGTACATTATTCCCTTGCTGCTTGAAGTAATGTAGTTTTAATTGATGTTCACATTTATGTTAGTCGATGCAGGAGTGCAATAAAATCAGATTCAAGCGTGCTAACATTGAAATGAACAGTATGGGAACAATGATCAATCAGATTCACTGAAAGAATTTAAAATAGCCTCATTGATCCATTCATGGTAAAGAAAAGGATTTATTTGGGTTTCAAAGTGATAAGCAAATGTTGCTTGAAGCCCGAAACTCAAGTGCAAAAATCGTGATAATTGGCCCTAATTCCTGAACTAGAGGGGTTGCCGGCGTGGTCTGAGCTTAAGCTAATGGTTCTCTTGAGCTCAGTAATTTTAAGCTAATAGCAATAAGAACGTACTCGCAACTATAACGAAAACACAATTTGAAAGCCTCAAATTTTGAATGCAGTTTCAGTGCATCGATCGTATTCAGGTTATTATGGCCTGTAACTAAGTAAAATGTCATATTTAGACTATTTGCATGTACTCCATTCGTATACTATAGCATAATATAAACTATTAGGTCACTTTTATAAGTAATTAGGACGAAATCTTCAAGTGCAATTAAGCAAAAACTACTTAAACCGAAAGTTACAGTGAACTAATTAAAGATGGATACGATAACAGTCATTGCTGTCACCAGCACATACTTTTATTTCATACAGGTCCACCGCAAGGATGAACACTCCACGATGTGTCACCAAATGTCTCATGCATATGGAATCTTTCACATTCAGACCCTTACTCTAAAACAATCAATATGCTATACATTTTTCGGTATTTGTTCGAAATGAATTAATAAATTATTCATTTCATGAGAGTAATACAAGAAAATTGTTATGATATTCACTGCAACTTGACCTGTTACAATACAACCTAATTTATCACAAGCTGAACAATAATTAATAAGCGACATGGCCATCTACACTTCGTAATGCTGACTTGCAAAAAATTAGCGACATCAGCATGCAGTACATTTCGGAGAGCAAATTTCACGAAAACGACTTCAATGTTGCCAATTTAAACTCATGTATTTTAATCATTAATGCCCAAATTCGTGGATTAACATTTACAATGGTCTGTGGACAAATTGAATTAATAATAAAACATCAATCAAGCTCTGGAAGCCCAAAGTTATTTTTAATATTATAGGATTATTGAATGGATGATAATGAAAGTTTAGGTGCATTGTTCATTCTCCGAGTTGAAGAAATCCATTCTCACATTTAGTTTTTTATTCATCACTCGAGGCTGATTAATTTTCAAATGAAACTGAGAAGCCAAAATATGGAAATTTCATCACCATATCATTTCGTGACAGGAAGACTTTCGGCGAATAGAATTTTAAGAACTGTATAAAAACTTTTTCGGCGCCCCACATGTAGAACCCGAAGGAATAATCGCCGTTTTCAGAATTTTCAGCCGGCGCTGCATACACAATTCAGGGCCACCATAGAGCACGAGGTCCTCCGACCTAACAAACTTATTATTACGAGAAACATTACTAAGAATGAACGAAATTGAGATGTTGTACGCAACTGGCATTAAGATCAAATGATGATTCAAATTACAAATTAACTAATAATTCAATATCACATGAATTGGCAAGAAAATAAATAGCAATTCTAATGGAAACTTTTTTTAAACAAGGGGCATCATCGCTTCCAAATTTCAACGTCATAATTGAATCTTAGTATAGTAGTCAGAATTTATCAAATTCGCGGAAAATAGTAATCAATTAGAATTTCCAAGGTCTTGAGTATAAAATTTTTTTTCACGTAATCAACATTGAAAATAGATCAAATTACGTACCATTTTTCGGAACAAAAAATTTGAAAAATGATAATGTTATTCAAATTATTAGTTGCCGGCGGACAATTGCTTACAAGGCAGTTGACACTTTTTCTTACATTTATAGCTCAACGCAGTTTTCATTGTGAGTTTTCTGCATTTATGCGTTTCAAACTTTAACACTTTCTTTGGAGGATGCGCCAATGTGTACAACGTTCACATGTAGGATATCGCCTAAAGGTATTGAATGCTAGTACAGCGTAAGTCAGACAATGTTCGAGTGTTAAAGAATATAGAAACAGCACGATCAACATGTTCAAGATAAAGGAAAATATAGAATATATCTTTTAGAGTGTACACATGACTTCAAAATCAAGAAAGAATTTAGAACAAGTAATATATAAAATTTAAATATCCGACTATTTGAGTATGCATTACTTCATCTGACGCACACACTGACATAACCAATTAAACATCGGAGCCGTGCGGCGGTTTTTGTTCGTATCCATAGTGACTGATCATGCGTGTCGCATTGGAAAATCTTACCAATTTGATATATTTATTTGTTTTGCTTATGACAAAAACTCATTACACTTGGAAGTTGTTTCTCTCAGCTTGAGCACGCCCCCTCAGGGGGGACTTCCGACGTGTGTCTGTGCTCGTCAGAAGTCCTATGGGATTTCGCGTTCCTAGGGGGATTGTTCCTGAGCGCCCCACCGCTGAGCTCGCGGTGCCTGACTCTAGGTCTCAGTTGTGGGGTTAAGTTATTATGTAGGTAGGATTCCTTACATTTCCCTTCTCTGCCTCTCTCGTGCGGGCGGCCGACGTCCCGTGTAAGCGACCTCTTGTTCGAGTGTATTCGTTTCTGTTACTTTTCACCTGTCCCTCCTTGTCACTT